GTGAACGGACTATAAAAGCACTGGATGAGTGCAGAACTGTGATTCACCGCATCCTGCAATACCAGAACTCAGCGCACAGAGTAAAAGGTTAGTTTAAAATATGTTTTAAAAAAGAAGTGCTGTACACAGCAAGTAGGGAACTCCTGGAACTTGCTTTCCTGGGAAGCTGCAGAGGCAGGCAATACAATAAAATTCAAAAAGTGATTAGATAAATTCATGAACATCAGATCCACAGTAGTTACTAAATGGGACAGACAATGGCATAAACTCTAATGCTTTTAGTTGAGCAGCTCTGGGTGATGTGAACCTATTGAGGGATGTGCTGAAGACATCCAGACTTGCGTACTCACCCTAAGCTGCAAGTCTCCAGCTGCCACTATTGGAGGCAGAATCCTGGGCTAGAGCGCTCAGTGGTCTGACCCTGCAGGACATTTCTTACCATCTTATGCTCTGACATCACTGGAGATCTCATCTGGAACTACAGAGGGAGCCTGCACAGACAAAGAGCTCTAGCAACATGCAGGCATAGATCAAACACCACAGAATTAAGTCTAAATTCAGAAATTGGGACATGCTCTCTGCTGCCAGGTAGCACTACATTTTTGACCCAATAATACAAGTACGAAATGTAAATGCAGTGGTTCACAGGTGAGGGCAAGAAGCTGTCTGGAATAAGAGGTCATAGACCTGCAGATAGCACGTGGTGCAGCTCGGCACAGGGATACAGGTCTAGCTGGGAGGCAGCTGGAGACCTGGGTGCGAGACATATAATACTGGGACTTGACAGATCTTAAGAGGGACAGAGAGAAAGTTCAGGGATGAAGCGTGTAGTTTAAACTGGACGTTTGAAATCAAAGCTCGAGGTGACATGGTGTGGGAATTCTACTGGAAAGAGAAGGCAGAAAAATAACACCACCTAAAGACATCCTTCTTCCTTTGATTTTGCTCTGGGACTGATCTTTTCTCAGGCCCTGCCTACACAAATCTGCTATGAACTTGACAGACTGTCAGCCAAGTATTATGAAGCAAGCTATCCTGCCACTGATACAGCCGTCACTGTGTTAAGTCCTTGATATGGTGGATGTGAGGCAGCTTTCCAAATGTGAAACCTTTGAATACACCCACTGCTTCTCGACTGAGCAAATTCAGTCAGAGCTGAGGGTTTGTTCAGTTATCAAAGTGTTTTCAAACTTTCAAACATCTTCTATGTTAACAGTTTAATTAAAGGTGCATGTGCACACATCCACCTGTCCTTGTACACATATCATTCTAGGTATGATCGGGTATGACTCAACCCTGAGATGCTCTACAAGGAGAGTAAATTAGAGCCCCAAGGACCTAAATCTGTCTTCAAATTCCCAGAATGCAGACAGCACATTTAGAGGTAGCCTAAGCTTCCTGCCCACATCCCTCCTCTCTTGCTAGCTTGTCTTTGTCCTCATCAGATGGTCTGTGCTTCTAGGCATGAAGCGGTGGTAAAGTCTGAAATCTTTTGCTAAGAGCATGGATGACTTTCCTAATTAATGCCAACTGTCAGATTTGCTCCTGTTATGTGGGTGTCTCTCCAATAGGCATGGAGAAGTCACAAGAGACTTGCAATTACTGGTCATAAATTGTACATGCCGTTTGCCACCATCACAAGAAAGTCAGCTATTCCTTTGCTGAACAGACATCTGGTCTGATGTTCATAAACCTCCTGAAAACCTATCTGATGGCAGAGATGTACAAAAATGCGGTTCAGGGCAATTTAATTTTGGTTTTCAAAGACACGCTTGCAGCTAAGCTGTAGTATGACAGTGAGAACTGATAAGGCTGTTCCAGACAGCAGGAGATGGAGATGAGTAAACTCCTTTGCCAACTGCCAGATTGCATGTCTGACACGTTGCAGATGTAAATCCAAGTGACTCAATGGGGAGACTATGCTGAATCACACCCACTGGGGATGTGCCTATGTCTTCAGGGCAAGAGGTAGTAGAAAGAGAAGACAGACATATTCCTTTATACAAACTGGAACAATTTTACGCAAGCCAGGAGCCTCCCTTGCTTTCTCTCCGAGGCAGTCCAGAAGGCCATGTTTGTCCTTTTGCCCAGGCATATGATTTTTTAATTTCTTTTTCCCCATGTCAAAGCTGTGAAAGCTGAAGTTGCTATGTAACAACATGCATCTTTGCTGGAAAGTAACTTTACAAATGCAAAAGGAAAGAGAAACCTTTTTATTGCTTCTCTGTGAAACATGAGAGAGTTTAGATCCTGAAGAAAAGGATGTGGGGTTTTGTGCTACCAGCTGAAATAGCCTAATCATGCATTCCATCTCCTTGGAAAACAATAGAGAACAAAACCCCAAACTAGAGGAAGCTCAGAAATGGATTAGATTCCTTGCAGGAAGAGGATTTTTTATAATTTTCTCAAGATGAGATATACCTCTGGGACACCTCCTTCCATCAGACATTCACTGCTAGGTTCAGTCCAGAGGTATCAACGAGTAGTGGTATTCAGCAGGCTGGATTAGGTCATATAACATTTCCTGCTGGCCTACAAATGCAGCATTGCCATCAATACATATGCATTTGTATACTGACTTCTGAAGGAAAATCTGAAGTGTGATTCATTAACCATAATAACACATTATGATACCCTTGCAACGCAGAGAGAACATAGTGCTTCAGGCATCCAAAAGCCTAGGCCAAATCAAGAAACAAAATCCAAGTTTTGATTTTTATTCTGTTGCCCTGGCTCCAAATTCAACCCCCTCCAGTTACTTCTGAGCATAAACAACACAGGTGAGAATCTCCTGCAGTAAGTCTGGCAAAACACCCTAGGGTTATTCACACTTGTAGCTCATCTGGAAGTTTAGGAATGGAAATTCTTTAAATCTTACAACTCTTCAAAACACCTATAGTGTTCAGCACTACTAAGTCTCTAGGCTTTTCTATAATACAGTAGCAGTTCACCTCAAAACAGATATCAATTAATAGGGCTATTTAAGGCTTTAGGTGGAAAAAATGTCTTTCTACTATTTAAAAACACTTAATATCAGCTAAGAACAAATTGTTACCCATATCTTGCCATTTCAAGAACTCAAACGATTTATTTTTGAGCATGTTCCATGTCTCACCAAACTTACAGCCTTAGGCTATTGAGAAAGTTCAGGATGAAAAACTGAAAATGTAATTAAAAAGCATACAATAGGAAGGAAAAGGAAGGGAAAAAATGATGGTGTCTGCCACATGTACAGCACTGGATTGTAATTTTTTCTGATTTATCAGCTGAACCTGTACTAAAGAGTTATGAGTCATACAATTCTTGCGTGGTCAACTGTCAAGACCACAGTGGCACGGCAGCAGCTGCGAGAGCACAAGCCGGGCTGCTGGACACACTCCCCGTGTCCTCTTCCTTGCGGAATCAAGAGTCACAACTTTGGTCCTGGACAAGTGAAGAAGGAGCTGCCTGTCAGGAACCATCTTAGTCGGTCTGCCATATGGTAGACAGCTTTAGCCCTGAAGCAGGATAGTTTATATACTGTCAATTTACACCAGATTATAGTTTTTTTTTTTTTCAAAGAAAGGAGAAATGGATTTGGATCCTTAAGAGGTGTCCCTGGCTTTATAGAGGCACCACATACAAAAGGTATCTCAAAATGCACTCATAGTGTACCTTTCTGCATGTGCATGACCAAGAACCTCACGGAAATACGTAAAAGTAATCACATGCAGACCTGCTTTAATATTGTGGCACTCATCCTTAAAAAAAAAAATTTTGAAATAATCACTGTGTGATTATATCTTCATAGCATGTCAAGAGTGGCGTGGGATACAGAAGCCAGCAACACTGGAAGTATTTGTAAGACATTAGTTCCCTCTCTTTATAAGCAGTTATGCCTGCATTTTGTTTTCCCTTAATGATCTACCCTGGATGCTGATATTAAGATTTCATTCTTTAGGAAATGATTAGCAATACACGCCATTCTTGGCTGGTAAATTCTGATGATAACAAAAGACATAATTTACATGTTTTAAAAATAAACTGGCTGTAAGGCATCTGATTACTGGATCCATAAACATTCACTGTTATAGTAACTTTGCTAGAACCAGGCAGGTTTTTGATACATCTCATTAGGCAATGTATTTTTAACACAATAGGAACTCCTACTGCAAGCTCCCCTTAAGGCTTTCCATGGGATTTCTTCTAATCCACTAACAAATTTAAGAGTTGCTGATAATCAAAGAATCACCAGGATCACACAGTCATTACAAGTAACCAGATGAGACTTCGAAGACATTCAGAAGCCTCCCTTTAAAGGCATTCACCTCTCTGGCTAAGCAAACATAAAATCCCAACCCCAAGAGAGGGTTGAGTGGAAAGCAGCCATCCTGAGTAGCCACTGGATATTTGATACTGCAGAGACACAAACTGATCAGACCCTCTGCTTTCTTGTTGCTGCTAAATTAAATCAGGGAAAAAAACTTACTCCTCCTATCATGGAGGAGTAATTAATCAAATTAATCAAATAAACTAATCAAAAATTAGTTTTGCCACAGAAACATGCTTTTACCAAGCAGCTTAACCATCATATTCAGGGCTGTGAGACTCAGGAGAGGGCACACTCCTCCTCTCCAGAAACATCATAAGAGTCTGGAGCAATCTAGATTCTTTCTATCTTTCATACACAGTTAAAAACTATAAATGAATAAACAAATCCATTCACCATCAGCTAAATACAGCTTTTGTGGTTTCCAAGTAGAACTTTCCGTTGTAGAACCTTTCAGAGCCTTTGTACGCATGAACTTACACAGTGGAAACTCCCCTGCAGAGCTCTGATCCTCTTGAATCAGAGGACAGGCACTGCACAGTGGTATCCAAGAAGGTAAAAGGCTTCTCGCTCTATTCTCTGTTGCTGCTATTCGTTTTGGTCTTTTTTTCTCCTCAGTTGCCGTGTGGTCTGTATCTACCGTATAATCAATAAGAGCTAACAAGGAAAGATTTGGGATTGTGGCACTTACTCGGGGTGTTCAGGAGACGTGACTTTTTGCAATGGTAGGCTGCCTCCTGTTCGCAGTACTCTGCACTGTTTATCACGGCTTCAAGCTGCTCCGTGCTGCTGTTGTAGTTAAAGGACATGGTGTATGGCTTCTCCGGATCAGCTCCTCGGACTCTGGTTAGCCCTGTGGTGTTGTGCTGAACTTCGGTCCAGATCTTATCTTCTGTTAAACAAAAAAGGATGGAACGGGAAGTTTAACAGCAAAAAACTTGCAACAAGCAAGGAACAAAAAAACCAACTGAAATCTAACGCTTTGCTGCATTGGAGAGAGGATCAGCAGGACCCTGGCCTCCAAAACGGTTACTCTGTGATGAAGACCTGTTACGGGTCAGTGTAACCCACAGAGCTGTTTCTCCCTGAACCAGCTCAAGCAAACACTACAGAGCCTGCTGAGCAAGAGAGAAACTACAAGCTCCCTGGGAACCACAGGAGATTTTCAGCATCTTCTATTGCCAGGCACCTGAAGAAAATTAGATATGTTTCAGGTGGCTTTGGCCTGAGAGAAAAGACATAGTAATATGTCGCATGGTGGTAACACTCATCTTTTGCAAACATAGCGGTACCTGACAGCACAGCCCACGCTGTTATAACAACAAATGGTAGCGGAGAACCGCGGCTGATGAGCTCACACAAACTCACCACAAACAGAAACCACAAACTCTTGCCAGAAAGCTAAAACTGAGAGAATGTTCTTACCGCCCATCTGGAAGTCAGATCACTCATTTTACTCAGTTCTCCAATTTTTCTACCTATAAGTTGAGTGATGCCCGGCTTGGATGATGGTATAGACTCGGCATCTGTAGTAAACTGTAAACGTTGATGCTTTTCCATGCTGGGGAGCCCATTCTCATCTCCTTCATTGCATTTACTGTCAGAATAAGGGATTTCGTAGCTGACAGAAAGCAGAATCTAGGCTTAAGTACAACCTGCACCGTAACAATGCAGCTCATGACCAGCATTGAGGTTGGCATGATAAGGAGAGCATCGCAATTAGAAGCAATTAGCTTAGCAGAGAGGCTGTTTCCCAGCTGGCTCTGGTGAGATAGCAATGGGCAAGATAACATGGACAGCCTGAACGGCCAATCTGCCGAGCTGACCCAGAGTGAAAGTCAAACTCTTTAATGAGGATTCATTGGACTAAGCCCTGAACATGCTCCATGATGTTATTAAGAGTCACATCCAGTAAATTCCCTCTTTCTTTATCAAAGACCTTGCTTGCCCAGGGAGGATAAGAGATACTGACAGGGCAAAAATTTAAGGAAGTAAATTTTAATCATTTGATGAGAGGAAGATTTCAATTTCACTTGCAGAAACCTATGGACTTACAGAGGAAGAGGCAAGATCTAGATAAGAGATTTCTATTTTGTTATTCATGCTTCAATAAGGAAACCCCAGATACTGCTGAACTAGATCTTTTCTAAACTGATCTTAAAAACTGTGCATTTAAGTATTCAGATGGTTTTACCAGACTACCTAGTCTGAGTTCTTGAAGAGCATGAGCTTTCTAGCTACTCCCCAATATGCTAGTATGACGAGCCCAGTAGCTTGTGGTCACTGCAATACATTGCAGTTGAAGTATTTTTTGTTGAGCTACAAATATCCCACAGATTACCTCAATAGAACTCCTTAATAGGTGTATAAAAATCCTAAATGGACTATCTGTGCAAAGACACTCAGATGATTTAATGGATTGTCATTATGGAAGCAATCAGATGACAGGAAAGTAGCAACAACCATCTGGAGACTATTTAAAGAGGTCTGTTCCAAGACCTGGCTGCAAGTTACAGAGAGATTACTCTCCCAGTAATGTATGGCATTAACTGTAAGGACAGTTTGTGCTCAGCAAATCATACATTCACTCACAACATTCTCATCATTTCTGTGATGGTGGATAAAAAGAGTTTGCTTATAGATCTGAAATTCTGTGGTTCTTGTTGAGTGTAGGACACTTCTTGTGGATTTTTTGAGTCGGAGCTCAATGAAACACTGCTGCAATGTGTGGTACATGAAAGTTAGATTAAAATCACAAGAAATATTGCAAATTCATTGCTTGTAAAAATTGCCCCAGTGGTTGTAATCACAGTCAGCACTGTAGGAGAATAGGCTGCACAGTCCTGAGCAAGATATTGCTTCCAACACAATATAATTCAATGACTTCATAACACACATCTTGTACATCTGAAAGCAGTGATTCTTATCAGCCAGAGTCTCTCTGGTTTTGCTTTTGTTCTTTCAAGGATTGACACGAACAGAGCGGATGTTTCAGAAGCAGTTGAGGGTGAGCTAACTTTTCTCTCATGGAAGTTGGTAGAAGCTTAACCCCTGCCTTCACTGAAAAATCTACTAAAAAAGACAAACATCAAGTTGCTGATACTGTAAGTGTGATGTAAAACCAAGAGGTGATTAAACAAACTGGTTGCTGACATTCCAGATGGGTAGTCATAAGGTCTTCCTGACTTAGAGTTATTAATATAATTCTGAGAAGTTACAGTAAAATCACTGTGTGCTCACAACAGTGGCTACAGTGCTGCTCGGGAAGTACAACAGCCTGACGCTAGAGTTTCAGAGTGGTTAGCAGTACTGTGCTTTCCAGGTTGTGTACTGGTACACCAGGAAAGGTGCTGTGGGGGTACTTGAAAAGCCATAGCAAAGCATAAAACAATGTTCCCAAGAAGTGCTGGAAATGTAATTAATTGACACATTTGAAATGAGGTTGGACAAGACGTCAGCAAACATACTGTTAGGGACAAGCACTCATTAATAAGTGTGTTGGACAGACTTTCGTTTTCCTCTGTGATTGTTCATTAATTTTCAATGGTCTTGTTATCATTACAGCTGCATCAGCTGCCTCTCTGAGGTCTCAACTTTGACGTTCAAGAACTGCTTTTCTCCACATGATCTTTTAGAAATGAGAAGCTCACTGCAGATTTTCCATCCTCTAGTTTGCAAAGGGAAAGGAAAAACAAATTGAGATTCTTTCTGTACTCAAAGTAATTGTGATTTAGCAAGTACATTAGAACAGAGAGTTAAAAAAAAAAAAAGCAATGGCGAAATGGAAGAATTCTGGGGTTACATTTCAGAAATTTCCTAATCTTCACATATCTTATCTGTTACGCTTATTGCTTTTACAGATCAGATCTGTGCTTTTCTGGTCACTTCAAAGACTACCACCATGCTCCATCTTTGAAGCAAAGGTAGCCATCAGTACAATGTCTCAAAAAACGTATATATACATTTGTCTCATTGATCTAGTGGAAGGAAAGTCATAGCCACTAGCAAGCATATCTCCAAGATGGTAAAAGCTACCATCATTCAAAAGTTTGTTTTTTCTCTCTATGCACAGCTGGTGTAGAAAGAGTACAGAGAAACACATTCTAGCTTTTTTATTATTATTTTTAACAACAACAACAAAAAAGCAATGAAAGAGGCTCTAAAAACTTGGGAGTCTGAAAGGAAATCTTCAGATTAGAAAGGTGGCCAAACACATCATAGATGCAAGACAAAAAGAGGTAGTGACAACGATGTTGGAGGAGGAAAAGGAAGAGAGATGTATTTAACCATCTCAGCCACGCTTCTTCCTGCTTCCCAGGGAAAGAACAAGTACTTCCATTTAGAAACAGGGATGTGAGGCACAGAGGGTCTAGATAATGTAAATAAAGTCACATATAATCTCCTAGAAGAATAAGGGATTACATTCATATTACAGGAAAAAAAAAACCACACAAACAAAAAAAAACCCAGAGTGATAAAGTTCTTCTTTCAAAAGAACACCCCTTGGTTTACATGCAGCAAATGAGCCTGAAAATGATGTGAACTTTAGTTTGCTTTGGACAGAGTGGGAGAGCTGACACTGCTCCATCCTGCATCTCAGCTGACTGAGGGAGAAGTAACTAAGAGCTGGAGGGCGGTGAAATCTTGAACCATTCCAAGATAATAGTGAGAACATGTGCACTTGCTTCCGTAGATCAGAAAACCACACAAAAATAAACCCAACCTTTCTTCCGAAGATCTTCACTGTTCATGTCATCTCATGGGCTTTATTCAATCACCATTTTCTGCACCTCAAACCCAGTACCATTTGGAAAAATATCATACTATTTTCTTAAATTCACATGCACAATTTTTGCTAGGGATACTCCCAGAATACAGCTGCCTGCCTCACAATGAGATCAAGGAATTATATCCTTACAGCTTGATCAATGTGTACTCTGAAGCCTACTGACAACAATCTGGGAGTCTGCATTTCAGGCATGCTTCAGAACCTACGTAAGAAACGTAGCTGCAATCAGGACATACATGCAGATCACTACAGCTAGAAAGCAGTGCAACAGCTGTCTGCAACTTAGCTCCATGACTCGCATCTCTCTGCAGAGATTATGCCTATCGCTTTTGAAAATTGGGCTCCTAATTGGGTTCCTATCTCACAATATGAGGATTGTAATTTTTAAAAAAAAAAAATCTTTATTCTTTATTATTTTATCTTTATTCTTTTTTGTTTCATTTTCATTATATTTTTAGGTAGTGACATTGTAATCATAGATGAAAACCATACTGTCCATACTATATGTTTTTTCCTGTTTACTCAATTTAATGAGCTCTCTCTGCACTTGTGAATTTACAGTGAGAATGAAAAAGCTGTTCTCTAGGCAAAGGTCACTGTTTATTTTTACCTTCTATTATTCCACTTTATTATTTTATTATTTTCACAGCTTAGTAAAATTTCAAACCACACACAAGCTGAAAGTCATTCAAAACTCAGCAGGAGAGTGCACCCACATCTCCTACTGTATAACCTGGAATAGTTAAACGCAGCCTTGAAAAGCGGATTTCCTAAACGCTTGTTAAATTGTTCCATAATTCAAAGGTGACAATGCTTTAATTTCAGGATAATGCTACAGCTTTATGACTTTGCAGTTTTATTTAATGGTCCAATTTACTAGGATATTATGCTGCCTGTATTTGGTCCTAGGAGATCTTTTTACAGCACGGGACTGCAAGGCATTCAGCACACTTTAGACTCTCTGTTCAGCCTCACCCATAGTTCTATCATCTTGCTGGAACCCTCCAAGTTGCTTTTGATAGCACACAAATTAAATTGAGGGAAATTAGAGCAGCTGGAAAACTGGCTTTCAACGAGTTCTGCATTGTCTAATTCTCATTTTT